TGTAGAGACTGCGCTCACACATCTCCAACAAAGGGCTGCGGCTGCGCTGGCGGGCCGTATTTAGTTACAACCAGGAATAAGAGGACAGTCTCCGACGATTGGACGAAACTTGGCCTGCAGGTTCTTCAAAGTCGGTCATTTCAGCACCGCCTACATCCCCCCGACCCGTTTCCCCCCCTTCAGTGTATTATGATAACACCCGCAGTACTCCGTGGCAGAGGACGAGGCTGTCTGGCAGCACGGAGGCCTGTGAAGAGAAAGAGAAGTCGCTTGAGTTTAGGGCAAGCTTCAGAGAACCGGGTGCCTCTGGCCCAATCAATGTCCCTTGGGACTCCTGTTGGTTTCCATTGACTTTACCCCGGCTTTTTCCACGCACTACCTAGGTGAGGGTGGTGGTGCAGGTTTGCTTCTTTTGTAGTCCCTTTCAACTTGCAGCGGAGGCTTTTCCCATAGCACAGGCTTCTCTCTCATCTGGTCTGCCGAGCCCGAGGTGTAGTGGGGCCACTGGGTCTGTCTCCAGAGCAGAGGAACGCTAACTCCATGTCCTTCCCCCATAGAAGGACTGTAGCCAGACCTCTGCACTCAGGGTCTGCTGACCAAGACCTGGCACTGCTGAGCCCCGGGCTGTAGGCAATCAGAGAAGACTGCTGTTGCTGGAGAAATAGCGAGTCTCAGGCAGACCAGGCTTGACACCTAACAAGGAAGCTTCACACTGCTTTTTTGGTAGCGTGTCCCTTCGCTGCGCTGCAAGAGATGTTGCCATCAAGGTTCAAGGAGAAGACTGGTCTGGTACTGGGAAGCTCCGATGACCAGATTCTGTCAGCTAGAGGCCACATTCCTTTTCCCTTCAGAAGTCCCCTGGGAGATATCATGCAAAACAGAGCTCCAAGGTGTGCATCTGTTCTGTGGAAGTGCTTCCTGAGTCTGATGCAAGTGCAGGGGTGGGGAGAGCAGAGCCAGCCAGGGCACACCCATGCAGTCTCTCCCTCTGTGCCTCCAGAAGCTGCAGCTGCTATTGGCTTGGGGTTTGTGGATCAGGGGGACAGAGCAGTGCTCTCTTTCAGAAGGCAAACTGGCAGCAACCCCTGTGCCCCCAGGGTCTGGGTGAGTCTGACCAGAGGGCGGGATTTTTTTTTCCTGCTTTCCACTCCCCTGGGATCTAGTGACCTATTGAAGTGCACCCCCAACCCACGCCAGCACGCCCTCTCCAAGCTGGAATTGGTTAGGCCTTCAGCTCCAGCACTGAGACCACACAGGCGCCGCCGGAGGGCAAGGCTGACCACCACGCTTCTGCGACTTTATTGTGTGAGTGATGGCGACCAATTGGGTGGCTCTGGGGTACCAATCCACTTCTTCCTCCCCCTGCTTGAGGCAGGAGTGGGGGCTGCCCAGGGCGGTGTCAGCATTTCCCAAGGAGCTTAGTAGAGAAGACAGGAGCCTTTGCCTTGAGGTGGAGGCCACACACAGCAATCCTGAGTCTTATGGACTTAGGGAACCCAGGCTCTCATTTTGGGGAAACTCACCCTATTTTTGTGGGACTTGAAAGTTCCAGCTCCAGAGATCCATTGAGTCTCTCCTCCCATCTCGTGATACACAGCGTTTCTCTGGGATTTTATTCCCAACCCTTAGGCAATTACCTCTGCGACCCCTCCCACCCACAAACAGGGGCGGTTTGCCGCTGAGGACTAAAGGAAACTAAGTGAAAAACAGAAAAGACAGAATAACTGGAATTTCTGCATTTCACCTCCTCTCAGAAGGGTGCCACCCGCCCCATCCTATCTTTGAGTTTCTCATTTCCCGGGTCCCACAGGCAAAGTTGCTTTGCTGGGAGGTGCGGGACGCAGGGAGGAGGGGTCGCGGGTGGGGGTCGGGGGCGGAGTGCAGGAGGGCTGGCTGGAGAGTGCGAAATGGGCTGGAGACTGGGAAAAGGCGGCTGTGTCTGCGAGCTCAAGGGCCAGCTCTGCCAATGCCGCCAAGTGCCCAGGAGATGGCGAGCGAGCTCCACGCCTGGAGAGGCGCAGCCGCACGGTCAAGATCAACAGTGAAGGGCGGTGCAGCCGGCCTGGGGTCGCCCGCCCGTGCGGTCACGGCCCGCTGCCCGGCGCGGCCGAGCGTCTCGGAGAGCCGGGGATCTTGGCGGCAAGGTGAGCCCGGGCGGCGGGGCCAGAGGGACCCGGTTGGCTGCCAGATACCGACAAGCGCGGCGGCTGTCCTCTTTGTCTGGCGGTGAGTCGGGACTCGGCAGTCGTGTCCAGACGCGCGCGCCCAGTGCTTTTCCACCCGTCCTCTCGAGCCTCGCGGGTGCCCGAGCCCCGCTGGAGTCTCCGTCACGGGGCACTCCCCCCCTACGCCCCACCCCGACTCCCCGCCTCCCAGCTCCCCGCGGGCCTCCCTTTCAGCGCTTCTGCCACCGGCCACACTCCCGCTCCTCTGCTGGCTCTTGGATGCAAAATCTAGGAGGAAACTATATCAATATCAAGCTCTTCATCTGTTATTGATTTATCCATCAATTTAAATTACACCGGAGAGCGTTGAGGCACAGTTTTAATCTCCAGCAACCTTTCTCTCAGGCGGAAGAAACGGATGGCCAGACACCGAGGAAAGCAGGGCTGCAGGCCACCTCTCCAGTCCACTACCGGAGACCTGGGCAGCGGCCCTCGGGAGGGAGGTGGAATGCAGTGCGCTGGAGGGGAGGGGGTAAGGAGAGAAAGAAAGTAGGGGGGAGATGGTGTGGGAGAAACCTCTGGAGGAGAAACAAGAGATTGGCCCTAGGCAAACACATCTTGCCGAAAAGAGTGTAATGTTAGAAACTTTACCAAATAGAATGTGGAAGCTGGCGGGAATGGTGTGTGCCCCCAGTTTCAGGGTTCTATTTCTCTTCCAGAGTTTGAGTTATGGTCACTTTTCTGTTTTCTCTTTTTCTCTCGAGTAAAATGAGTTGGCCACCCACAGCCCGTTAGGAGGTAGGAAAGAAGCCAAACTGGGCCAGAGAAACCGAAAGTAGCTCGGAACCTCAGAACCTTGGGTCTCTGCACCTTCCTGGGCAGATCCAGCCGGGGGCCTCCTGGCAGAGCAGCCTGCTTATGCTGTGAGGGCCTGAACAACTGTATTAACTCACAGTTTAACACATTTACCACTTAGTGGACTATCCTGGGGTGCTCACACAGAATAATGGACCAGGCTACCAGGTCGGCAGCTTCCCCCCACCCCTCACGTGGCACTTTCTCAAGAAGTTCCCAGTGCCTAAAAATTGCACCTAAAAGTTTCTGGAGCATGCAATCTCGGTTTCAGTCTTCAGCTGCTGTGTGCAGGCTGTCTTAAGAAGAGATAAGGGATTGCTGGAAAATTTTTTTTCAGTTGCCAAATATGGATATGTCTAATTTCAGGAACTTCCTAGAGTAGATATTTGTAATACCCTTTCTAGGAAGCAAACTTCTAAGTGAGCAGGTTTCCCTTACACCTGGGCACCCCGTTATATCATATTCATTTGAAACAAAATTATTGGAATAAATTTACAATATTGATAAATAATCTTTATTGAAGTGTACTTTTTGCTTCTCCCATTAAAATGATCATTTTAGACACCACACATTTTATCCTCATTTAAAGATATCACTGTTTATGTTAAAGTTGAAGGGGGGGTTTGGGGGTGGGGGCAGAAGTGGAGAGTCTGGAGGTTTCTGAGACCAGAATTTCCTTCAAATATAGAGCACATCATGGTGTTCAGGATGACAAGATTTTATAATAATAAATAAGCAGAGTTTCTAGTGGTGACACAGGTTTGGAAAAAGAAAACAAATGTATACTCAGAGGAAACAAGAGAGTTCTGTTTATTTGCATCTCCCTAGGAGTAAAATGTAGTTTTTAAATGCCTGAAGCACTGCCCAGGTATTCTAGCTCACAGACATTGCAGCTACAAAAATAATCTCTCAATTGTATAAATATGCAGCACTTTGAAAGTAGTTATTTATCATCACTTTTAGAAAACATTGTTTTTCTTCTCAGGCCTTACAGCTCTGTAGTTTTCAAATTTCTTAGACAATTTAAAGCTCCATGAGAGGTTCAACACATTTGTTCAGACATTCAAGTTCTTCATTGGGTTCCAGATAAAATCTCTTGTCCATGGTCATTATGCAGCCTCTTTAGGGTGGGAGGCTGAGGGGATGGCTTCAGTTCTACTCCCACAGAGGCTAAGAAAATGGAGTGGATTCATACCTTCCATTGGTCACTCTGCCAATTACAGTCATTTAAATTTCTGCAAAGGTGGGGAAAGGAAGGCATCTTTATTTTACTAATTATTTCTCTATTTAAAGGTGGTTAGCGCAAACATCTACAAGGGGTACCAAAAACAGACGACTACAAGAGCAAGTAAAAAACCAAAGTCGGAAAGATTGTCCTCATTCCAGTATCAATGTAAACCCTATTTCATAAGGCAGCTGCTTTTAAAGCCAAGGCTGTACCTCCTGCCTGATTTCAGACTTTCTCAATGACTTTAGTCCATGCCTACCCAGAGCTCTTTCCATTAGCTTCAGGGTGACGGCTGAGAGCTAATGATTCAACTACCCAATCACAGGATAAGGCTGCAAATGATTCAGCCTTAATGGACAATGAAGATGGACAGTGCTGGAAAGGGCATATTAAGTGAAAATCCTAAATCAGACTGGCACTTCTAAACTTCACTTTTGGGGAGGAGTATTAAAAACATTTCAAGTCCTTCATACTGGCCTGGAGGGGAAAACAGAACATTAAAAACGTCATAAAAACAAGCCTAGACAAAAACAAATCAATCATAAACAAGTAAGAAACAACAGCAAAGTCATGTTGGCTGCAAAAAAATTTAGAACCAGATAAAGGGAAAAGAGAAAATTCACAAAATTTGCCATCATTGGCGGAGAGGGGAGGAGAAGGGAGGGGGGAATTAAATACATATTCAAGTCTTTCCAAAGGTCTTTTGGAGACAATTGAAGCACTTAAACTCTTGGTGGCCAATCTGGCCCACATCAGGAGACAGTGTCTTTGAGTTTGGAGACGATTTTCTTGTCTTTCACTCTTCGATTCTGAAACCAAATGGTCACTTGTCTCTCAGATAGGTTTGTGGCAGCCGAGATTCGCCGCCGCTTGTCCTTGTTAATGAACTTGTTAATGGCATACTCATTCTCCAGTTCTTTGAGCTGCAGTTTGGTGTACGGCACCCTCTTTTTCCTTCCCCGACGGTAGACACACATGTCTGGCTGATTTAGGGCCACATCCCCTGGTATAAAAAAAAAATAGCATGGGAAAAATTATAACAAGATATCTGGGGCCCCCAGCTGGGGGCAGTTTGCCTATGTTTGGAGAGGGTACAGGGAATAAAGAAAGTCAGGCTGTTTATTTACACATTGTTATTATTATTTATATAGACTTATTATTCACAGGTTATTAAAGAAAGATTATTTACACTTCAAAGTGAAGGTGAACTTGATGGATCATCATGGTTGTTCAAATGGGCATCTTAACAAGCCTGTGATTTTATGGCAAGGTTACTGGGGACCCTCCGGAGGACAGTTTCTGCAAATGCCAGTTGCACACACGTAAATGTACACAAGCACTTTTTTTTTTTGGTTTTGGTTTTAAACGCAGGTTGTCTGCTCAAGTTTTGATTTCTTGGGTTTCTGTGTTTGGAAACTGAACTCTGTTGATACAGTTTTAGTGGTCAGTCTACAGAAGTTCTGTCCTTGAAAAAATGGGGTCCAAGTCTGTGACAACTCTTGGGGTGGTGGAGCCAAAATCCGTGCAATGGCACGAAAAGATTCTCAATTTTAAAAGAAAAACAAACACACAAACATGCTTGAGCCTACTCCCAAGAGAGAATTGTGAGAGAGGCCTGTTTAAAGCCAGGCGCAAGGACCAGAGCTCACACGTACTGAGCAAACTGTTGGTGGAGGTGAACCCTGTTTGGGCGAGGAGGAGAGATGCCCACTTCACAGTTGGGGCCCGTATGCTGAGCTCTTTCTTTCCCTGACTCTGTCTCACTCTCGCCCTCCCTTCCGTCCTCCCCCTTCCCGTCCCTACCTGGAAAAGACGATTTCCAAAAGTGGGAGCCCTGGGGCTGCTCTTTGGCGCAGTACACCTGGCTGTTCCACCCGTTGGCCAGTGTCCAGGACTGGTAGCCCTCCATGGAGATGTACGCCTCGTGCCGTGGCTCCCCGGAGCCGAAGGTGGATACCATGTCGATGTAGCCAGGCACGTGCTGGTAGGGGCTAGTGTAGCCCTGGTAAAAGGACACCTCCTTGGCTCGCCCGGGCACCTCGTTGGCTGGCACGCTGCTGCTCGCCAGCCCAGACACGTCCATGTACTTCTCCACCGGGAAGCCTCCGAGCGAGGCGTGCGGCGACGACTTGAGCGCGTTCTGTTGCAAGCCCACGCCGTGCGACATGCGGCAGCTATAGTAGCCGTTGCCGAAGTGGTAGCCGTAGCCCAGCGCCGGGGCGCCGGGGGGCGCTGCGGCGGCCGCGCTGGGTGCCGGGCACTCCTTGGCGGCCGGAGCGTCCGGGCGCGCCGCGACCACCGCCGAGGACGACGAGGATGAGGCGGAGCCCGCGCGCTCCGAGGTCCCGGGGTAGGAGAAGCCCGAGGCCGCCGCCGCCGCCGCCGCCGCCGCCGCCGCCGCCGCAGCAGCCGCGCGCCCCGAGTGCGTCCCGGCGAACACCGGCGCCGAGAGGAAGCCGCGACACTGGCCCGGCGCCGCCACCGAGGAAGACGACGACGACGACGACGAGGCTGGGGCCGCTGCAGCGGCCCCGCCGTCCGCGCGCAGCGCGTCCATGTCCCAGATCCCGGCGCGGCTCATGGCCTGGCCCGGCCCGGCCCCGGCCCCGGCCCCGGCCCCGCGCAGGACACCATGGCGCGGTGAGCCGCCTCCCTCCTCGCCTTTCTCTCGGCTTCTAGCTCCCGCCCTCTTCCCCTCGCCCTCGCTCCCTCCGTGCGCCTCCCGCCTCCCGCCCGCCTGCCCGCCCTCCAACAGGTTAGCTCATCGCGGGACGTTTATAAAAACGAAGTTCAGGTTGGGAGGGGGCCCGGGGCTGGTCGGGGGGCCGCCTCCCTCCCCGAGGGCTCAGCTCGGGCCCGCGCCATTGGCTGCGCGCAGCCACGTGGGGGTGGGGGCTCGGGAGCGCCGGGCTCGGGGCCCGGGGCCCGCAGGACCCACCCACCGGGCCCCCACCCCGCCTCTCCCCTGTCCGCCCTCCCCCGGACCCCGGCGCGGCCGCCGCAGCCACCCCCCGCGCCAACTGAGCGGCGGCCCATCCTCGGCCGGGTCTGCGAGGGAGACAGGCGCCCGGGCCTGCGCCGGGACCCGGCCACGGCGCTGTGCCACCTTCCCCTCCGCTCCTCAGGCTGCACAAGTCAAGGAAGGCGAAGGACAGAGATGGTACCAAAGATGTGAAAACAGACCGAGTTGGGATCCTATTGCTTCATTTGTGGAATTAGCTGGCCTAGGACCTCACACCCGAACGAGCGAGTTTTCCCTATGTTATTGCATTGCTACGGGGCGAAGGCATCTCGCGCAAGCAATTGCATGGAGCCTCGGGGTTTGGGTCAGTTGGAGCAGAACACTACCTACACACACCGGCTTTCTCTCCAGAAGAGGCCCATGAAGCGCCATCCTGGATGGAACACAGAGATTTACAAGTAAGTTGAGCAGAAAAAGAGACCGGCCTTCGTGGGAGAAGCGGGAAGAGATCTGAGAAAAATTCAGATGCTTCTTCTAGGCTCTTCGTCAGTCACGACCCGCAGAAGCTCCCAGCTAAGGGCGTGGGTAAACCGCTTTGCTACCCCGGGCCAAACTTGAGCGTGCGCGGCTTGTAGCCCGACCCGACCCGTCTCCTACATTTTGCAGCCACCGCCCCCACCCCCCAACCTCGGCCCGCCCCGCTGCCAGTTACACCAATTAATTGAAAACTTCTCTTTCCCAGGGACCTTTGTTTCGCTTTCTTTTCCAAACTGCCAACTGTTAGAACTGAGAGAGATATACTAAGAAGATGTTATTTTCTAAGGAAAATTGGGGTTCCAGAGGAAAGGGGTCTGACAACTCTCAGGGGGTTGTCAGAACTCCCATGGCTGTCAGAAACCTTGTTCTAAATAAGAAAAAAAAAAGAATGAAAAAGAAAAACTTCACCGGATCTGTCTTCATTCCTCCACTAAAGCGCCTTAGTTTACCCTTCCCCCAAGTTAGTCATTAATGGGGGCCCATTACAAGTCCTGCGGTGAACTTAAGGGTCCAACTTACAAGCACTATTAGACCCACTAAACTGCAGATGCTGGAAGGGTGCTGATCTCCCAACCAGTTATATTGTTTCTTGGCTCCTCAGGGCTCCCCAGGACAGCCCACCTTCATCCCTTGGTTGGTGAGGCCAGCATATTAGCTAGATCTAGTTGGAGGTGTGGATGGGCAAGCAGAAGAAGGAACCCTCTTGGGTCTGGCCTGGCATTCCAGGGTGGGCTGCTGGTGTTGGGAGTGTTGACACGCAAAATGCAGTAACCATAAAAGGCTCAAATAAAGGGGAAAGTTATGAGAGGGGCGCTGGAAAGGAAAGGCAGGAAGAATTTGACCTTTTTGAAGTCCCAGGCATGTTCATGATCAGATCTGAGAGTGGAAAGGCCTAGGACCTTGCAGAAAGTCATAGGGAATTGAGGTTTGCTGGTGAGAACGGTTTTGGCAAGTTCAGAGAAGGAAAAGGACAGCAACAGGAGCTGGTTTAGATTGGTGAGTTGAAAACCCCAGCAGGACCAGAGGAGAGAGTGGTTGACATTCTAGAAAAGACTAATTTCAGTACCAAATTTCAGTACAGCAATTTCAGTATCAAACTAGTTATGACATGCCACCTAGAAATGATCTTATTTTTCCTTGATCTCCCTTTCTTTGTCTCAGAGGGAGAAGTGTGGAGACATTAAAATTATTTTTCTGTAACCATCCCCAAAGTTTCAAATTGAAATAAGTTAAATTATTTCTAGAACATAACTGGAACCAACGAATTTTCCATGACTTAAAACTAAGCTTCTATCTGATTTTGTGCCATGGGATGTCTGTTCTCTTCACTATCAGAAAAAAAAAATTTTAGTGGCTGGATATGCTGAAAAGTGAAGAAAAGAATTCAGGATAGGAAGGAAGAACTTGCCATGGTTTTTAAGTGATCCTTTAAGTTTAAAGTGCAGAAAGGGGAGTAAAAAATTACTTCTTAGGAGTGCCTCTGTCTCCAACTGCCCTTTGCAAAGATCCAACTATTTGGGTGTATGTGTATGTATATGTTTGGGGGTTGGGGGCGGGGGTGTTCTCTGCTCATCCCAGCAGGTGTTCTGAGGCTAGAGAAGCTTTGAACAAGGATCATTACCTCTTGCTATCCTGCTGGTGAACTTACTTCTAAGACAGCCCTTGGGGTGTCAGCTCTGGAAGAGAGCTTCTAACTGGACCCACTGGGAGCTTCTAAACCCTGCACTCAGAGCAGCGGCTGCTGTTGGATCTTAGGGCTGTGGTTGAGTACCAGGCAAAGTCAAGAGCTGCTCTGCTTAAGAACTCATCAGGCACAGAGTTTACAAGCCGGGATGGTAGGTAGGAGTTTTAAAGCTGATTTGCAGAAACATTTGATTTTACTTATATAATGTGTGCTTGGGCTGATTTCAGTTTTGAACATAATGGGGATACTTTTCGTTTGCTGGCAAATAGTACAGACTGAACTTTGTACTGGATTTTAATAATATACGTAGTGTGTGTTAAATGAGAATTTTTTCCAACTAGAAATGTCTCTACACCAGATTACCACTTTTTCTAATTTGGTGAGAAACTTTGAATGGTCTTTTTAGGGGGGCGGGGACAGGGAGAGAGAATTTAGTCTTTCCTCTATGCCTCCCCACAGGCACATTTTTTTGGGGGGGGGGAGGGAACTGATGATGTTTTAGAAATTACAGTTCTTTTCCTCCTTGCATATTATAATCATGTCTCAGTCTGGGTTGGAATAAGGCCAGGTGAAGCTGCAGTTTAGATTTATTGAAGAACTGACGTTTCTCTACTTTTCAAGACAGCAATGAGCCCAATTAGCCACATAATCGGTGGCCATTAGAGCCAGGACAGCAATAACAAGGTCCTATCAATGTGGAATTCTTGGGGTTCCTTTGAAACTGTTTTCCTTGATGGCCATGCCAACAAGTCACAGGACACCCTCCTAATTAACTTGTGAGTAGCAAAAAAAAGTTTCATTTCAAAGTAAATCTTAAATCCAGCAAAACTGGCTGAATAGTGTTCTTAACCAAGACTGCGCCCCCCCCCACCCCATGCGCTGCCAACTTTGAACTTTGAAGCTAATTTTCTCTCTGCAGGCAACACCCAGTTTCATTTGGATTGGAAACATCAATAGAATTTTTTTGGGGGGGTGACCCAGTGGTGCTCAGGGGTTATTCCTGGTTCTGCACTCAGGAATTACTCCTGACAGTGCTTGGGGGACCGTATGGGATGCCTGGGATCGAATCCAGGTTGGTTGCGTGCAAGGCAAATGCCCTACCGCTGTACAAAGACTTTGACCCCCAAAGAATTCTAAGTTTCTAAAATCAGTGGAATTCTAAATGCGAACTATTCTACTTCTGAAGTATATTGCATTTGAATTAATAGACCAACCAAGCTTTTAAAATGTAAACTCATGGAACAACAATGAATACCTCATCTCCAGCTCAAACCTTTAGTTGGTGAAACCAGATTTCTCTCCCATAGTGCAGGGTGTCCTTGTTTGCGTTGGAGGGAAATTTTCCGGTTCTGGCGGGAACTGAGACAGCGTGCCTCCCCTCTCCCAGAAGCATAACCATTCCGAAGGGGGAGCTCAGGGGAGGGCCGAGAGACAGAGAACCCAGATAATTTGTTGATTCCCTCCCCGCACAAGAAAAGAGTACTGGGTTGGGGGAGGTGGGAATTTTCTGCTCTTTTGTCCCACAGCACCGAAGTGCGAACTATCCGGGGACACAGACTTCTCAACCAGTACTGTTAACTGGAGTCCAATAAGCGCTCACTGTCTCTTGAAAATGAAAGAAGCAAATAAGCAAACGAGTCGCCCTCTTTTTCTTGCGCAGCGCACATCATCTCCGTGGGGAATTCGCACGTGGTCACTGGCAGGGCAAAGGCTGAAGGTTAGAGAAATGCCCAAAGTCCAGGGTAGGAGGGGAAGAAAGGGGAGGGAAGCGAGGGCAGGCAGGAAGCCTCGCTTTCCGGCTGGCGGCCACGCAGTTCCCCGGGTCTGGCGCTAGATGTCCCTGCAAGTTTTACTGTCGTTTCTTCTTCTTTTTTCTTTTTGGGTCACACCCAGCGATGTACAGGAATTACTCCTGGTACTCAGGAATTACTCATGGCGGTGCTCGGGGGACCATATGGGATGCTGGGAATCGAACCCAGGTCGGCCACGTGCAAGACAAACGCCCTACCTGCTGTGCTATTGCTCCAGCCCCTACTGTCGCTTCTAAGTACCCCGAGATGCTGGCTGGCTGCGGCGGGGCGGCCGTGGGGAGCCTGAGTCCTGAGAAATTGTAGCTCACCTCCACCGTGGAGGCACATGGGAGTGCTCAGGAATGGAGCAGCTATAGTCCAGGATAGAAGAAAGCGAAGGAGAACTGGAAGCGGCCAGAGGAAGTGGCTGGAGTCGGAGAGTGCAGGCCTGCCTGCCTTAGGATGGCAGCCAAAAGTTGTCCTCCAGAAGTAGGATGAGGTGTCCCCAAATCCGCGTCTTCCCTCATAAACTGAAACCTGCAGTGAAGAGCATCGGAAGAACCTGTAGCTGAGAGCACCTGAGGCTGGGGCATCTGCCAGTCTCACTGCTACAGCCTCCCCAGGCCTTCAGCTAGTTTGAGATGGGATGCAGGCCCGCGGATTTGGGACCTGCTGAAATGGGGACAGGAGTTGGCCAGGCAGCCTTGGTGCACCACGCACGCACATCTGCCTTTATGAGCACCCCTTCCTCTCAGTGGCGCTGCAGTCGCAGTCTAACCGGCTACTAATGTCCTCACAATCTACTCCTACGCTGCTCAAGAAACACATACTTAGTCTGGTGGTGTAACAGCAACAAGCAACAAAATCAGGCCTCTTTCGTGTAATTTCTTTCTAGAAAAAGATGTTCTCATGTCCATTTGAGGAAAGTTCTGTTGGCACTCTTATCCCCAATGCATCTAAAAATTTTCTGCTTCCCCCTCGTGAGGCCAAAAACCTCCTGAGAACCCCAAGGCCATGGGTGAGATTCTTGGGTTTTAGTTAGTTTTCTTCCCTCTCTCTGCTATTGGATAAGTGATGGAGGTAGGAGGCCTTTTGTCTGCCTCTTAAAACCAGGGTTATTTGGGCAAGAGATAGCATTGACAAAAAGGCATTTGCCTTGCACCTGGTGACCTGAGTTCTATCTCTGCATCACATACAGTCCCTTAAGCACTGTCAGGAGGGATTCCTGAGAGCAGCACCAGGAATAAGCCCTGGGCACTGCTGGGTGAGGTCCCCCAACAAAGAGTAGCAGTACATGCCAAGACCTTTGACAGGATTGGTCCTAGTCTCAGGTCTCAGCATCCACATTCTGGGACCCAACTAAGGTTTTCATTGATAAACACCAAAAGAAGGGCCAGATTAATAATCCAGTGGGCAAGGAGGTTGCCTTGCACAGGGCTGACCTGGGTTCAATCCCCAGGCATCCCATAGGGTCTCCCGAGCAGTGCCAGGAGTAATTTCTGAGTGCAGAACTGGAAGTAACCCCTAAGCATTGCCAGGTGTGACACAACAATAACAACAGCAAAAATAAACACCAAAAGTAGGGTGTTTATCTTCTTTCTACCCTCCTCAACAATCTCAGTGTTTTTGAGAGAGACTGAACCTAAAGAAAGTATATGCAAAATGGGAGAATTAACCAAAAACGCTGCCCAAAACATTAAAATACCTTAGAATTGGGATAGTATCTAAGAAAGGCCTAAGTCAAAAGCAGACTCTAACTCTAGAGCTGTCACCAGCTTTAGAAGTGATGGTATATGTAAAAATGTCAGGGGGAACTCTATGTACGTGGCGGCCAATATATACTAGTAAGAGCAGTGGAACCTAATTTAGGGACATTAAATGTTACCATGGAATGTTCACTGTGTGCATGTCACTGTGTCTGCTAAAAGCAAGCAGTGTAGCCAAAAATCATAGGTGCCCTCTTCCCTGTCGCTTCCCAACATTGTATCTAGTAAATGTGCTAGAGTTGCAAAACTCTGGTTAGGTTATGTAGAAGGTGCAAAATAGTTTCCAAAAACTCTAAGGAGTGAAGGTGTCTCTGAGAAACGGTGTTTCCCCTCAACAAACTGAGATGCAATTTGGAGCAGCCTTAGAGACCAAAGGTGCAGGGTACTGGGAGGACGAAGTGAGAGAGGGAAGGAGCTGGAGGCTGGTAGACTTGCCTCTGAGCGGTTGCCTCTGAGGTTCACAGCTCCGACAGCGCGAGGAAGACAGACGGGGGCGCCAAACGACAGCAATAAAGGCAGCCGCGACTTCCGCCCGGGTCCCGTCTCCGCCAGCTTTCCCCACCCCCAGCTCCCGTCCGGGTCTCGGCCCCGACAGACTTCTGCCGAGACCGCTGTGTCCAGTTCAGTCCCCAAAGCTTCCGCGTGTGTGTGTGTGTGTGTGTGTGTGTGTGTGTGTGTGTGTGTGTGTGTGTGTGTGTGATCTTCCCGGAGCTCTGACACTGTGACTCCTCTCCTCCAGACGCGGCCTATCGGAGTGATGGGGCTGGGTACCAGAAGTGGGTGGTAGGGGTCGTGGTGTGTGGGGACATCCGCCAGGCTGGGGTCCACCGCGCTCCGGAGGCCTGAAAGCGGCGCGGGGCGGGCTCCCGGGAATCCGAGTCGGGAGACCCCTAGTGCTGGAGCGCATATGGACGCTGGGGACACGTCCTCCTGTGTTCCTGTCATCCATTCCGTGAACCCCCTCCTGCCCCCAGGCCTCCCTGTGCCCATCCAACTCTCCCTTTCTCACCTTGGCGGGGGTTGTGTGTGTGTGTGTGTGTGTGTGTGTGTGTGTGTGTGTGGTGGGGGGGACGACGACTACTTTCATTTAGTACCTGAAAGATGGGAATTCCTTTCTAAGTAAGGCTCCTGTTGTTGAAGTAAGTTGGCGCCAAGGGGAACAGGAGAGAAACTTTTGGCATGGACGATGTGTATAAGTGTATATAAATGTACCTCACACCTCGCCTCCCGCACATTCCTGACTGCGCCCCCAACGGGTCCAAGGTTCAAAAGGAAGGCGCCCACCGACAGAAATGGGCAAAGAGACCCCCACCGGCCCTAACACACCTCAATGTGTGGGGTGTGGCGGCAGGAAGGAAAGGGGGGGCCTAGGTTGGGGTCTGGATTGGCGCTGAGGCGGGGATGCGAGCCCCGCACCCGGCGCCCAGATGCTAAGGTCTTGGCAGCTGAGAACGCTCCCAGGCCAGCCTCAAAGTCCCGTCCTTGTTCTCTCCCATCACCGCCCGCCGCGGGCCGATTCCCTGGCGCTGCTGGCTGGCAAACAGCACCACGCGCTGGGGCTTGGGGCAGGGTGGGGCTCAAGCGCGGGAGGAGTCGTGGAACCGCCTAGAGTGAAGATTGATCTTCGTTAAAATGGTTGCCACCGGCGTCATTATGACCATCAAAGTTATCGCCAGGAGGCTCCGCAGCCAAGCTCAGGCCTGGAGGAGCTGCAGCGACGCTGGGCTGCGGCTCTGCGCGTCCAGACTCCGCGCGCCTGAAGCCCCGGGCCACAGGTAAGAGGCTGGAATGCGGGTGGGTCGGGGGCTAGGATGGTGATGAGGAAGAAAAGCAGAGAGCACAGTAGGGAAGGGAGAACAACATGGATGTTAAAGAAAGGAGACTAAGTCTCTTCATTCCCCTCCTTTAACCCCCGAAACTCGCAATTTTGCCGCAAATAATTGATTGGGGAGGAAGGGGGAATAGCTGCGGTGAAAAAAGAAAAAAGAAAGAAAAGTGGATTGGGGGTGGCCCATATGGTGCAGTAAATCGCGACTGTATTTAAAGTTAGCTGTCAAATTCTGCTATGAAATCGTCCAGCCGGGTTCATTTCCCCCAGGGAAAATGCGTAGGGGGGAGAGAGAGAGAGAGAGAGAGAGAGAGAGAGAGAGAGAGAGAGAGAGAGAGAGAGAGAGAGAGAGAGAGAGAGAGCGCTGTCCGTAAGCTGGATTATAAAAGTAAAATAACCCTGAACTTGGAGTTCAAAACTCACTCTGCGAACTTAAAAATCAGAGTACCTCATGATTTCCGTTTGGAGGACAGGGCCCAGTGCACCTCCCAGCCACGTAGACTAAAGTGCTTTCCAAACTAGGCTAGGCGCTCTCTTTCGTGTTCTCTCTCTCTCTCTCTCTCTCTCTCTCTCTCTCTCTCTCTGCAGTTGTACTGAAGCGAAGGCGTTGGGGAGGGGGGAAGATGTTGGTTCCCTATTTGTTAAATAAAAAATATATTTGGTTCTGAAATCTGAGAGATAAGTAATCCAGACAGGAGCGAAGGTCTTCTCCTTACGCAACTCTTCCTACATCCGCCCCCTTGTCCCACCCCCCTTACCCACTCCCGCTTGTAAATGTTTAAAAAAAAAAAGAAGAAGAAAAGAAAACCCTTCCCTACGATCTACCCTGGAAAATCAAAGCATTATCTATTATTTAACACGTATCTGTGTCCGAGGAAAAATGAGGAAGGCGCTGCATGATTAAGACCTAAGGGGCAACCCAGCAAACTGAGAGCGTAATGATGCCCCTAAATGAAGGGGGAAATGTGCCGCGGCGCGCGCTATTAATCAGACTGTCAATTTCACCCCCGAGGCCAAGCCCCCGGGCGAGCAGAACCGGCTCTGAGCGGGCACAGGACCTGAGCATTTCTTCTCACTTCTTGTCTCTTCTCGCCTCCTACCTGGATCTATTTGTCTGCTCCGAAGCCGCCTTCATTACCCACTGACAGGAGCGTATATTTATTTGCTTATAAACCTGTTACAATAAATGATTATTCGAACAGCGTCATTCGTACCTTAATGACGAGCAAGCGCTACTTTTTGATGAATGACATCTTGGGCTCAGAAGGATGTATGGGTCATTTTGACCAGTCATTCCCTCGATCTGGCATCCCACAAATTTTTCCGCCTCCCTCCAAAAAGAGATAATAATATTTAGAGGCGCTTGCTGGGGGCTGAATGAGAATTGGCCCTAGGCACAGCCCATCATTAGCACGGGACAGCCGGGCCACCGTGACATTTTTTAGAAAGCTGAGATGATGGAAAGAATAAGAAAAGAGATGATTCTGATGGAGAGAGGGCTGCACAGCCCAACGGCCGGCAAGAGGTTCTCCAATTTGTCCGATTCGGCTGGCAATGCTGTGTTGGAGGCCCTGGAAAATTCGCAGCACCCGGCTCGTCTCAGCCCGCGCTTGCCTTCCGCCCCCCTGCACGGCGCTCTGGGAGATCTCCCAGCCAAGGGCAAATTCGAAATAGACACTTTATTCAACCTGCAGCACCCAGGCAGCGAAAGCTCCGTCTCTTCCGAAATCTCCACTGCCGCCGCCGCCGCGGAGGGCCGCAAAAAGCCGGGGCATTATTCGGAGGCGGCCGCCGAGGCGGACATGAGCAGCGACGTGGAGGTGGGCTGCTCTGCGCTGCGCTCCCCGGGAGGCCTCGGTGCCACCGCGCCGCTCAAGGAAAACAATGGCAAAGGTAACCGCGCCGCGCGTACCGAGCTCTCCAGTCCCACCTCGCCGCTCCTCCGCGGCCCCCTGCAGGCCCTTGCTGTGCCTTTGACCCTCTCCGACCCTCCTCCAGAAAGCTACACCGGGCTGGCTCGGACAGGATCGGGCCGCCTTAGGGGAGACCTTGGTCTCCAGTTCTGCTCCTACGTTCTTCCAGTGAGGCACGGGCCTGGGTCTCCAGGCCCGCAGGCGCTCCTTGTCCTCGCTCTGGAATCCGGGGGAATTAAAAAAGAAATAAGAGAAAAAAATATTTATTTGCGCGGATCTAACCGCCCAAGCGAGCCCAGACCCGAGCCAGCCAGTGAAGTCGAGATAGGGGAAAGGTGCCCTGAGCCACTGCTCTGGACTCCGCTGCCTCTGGGATTCCAAGGCCGAGTTGGAGGGGGGAGTGTTCTTCTGAATAAGTCGGAGGCAGCCTCCTCAGGCACCTCTGGGAAACCCACTTGGGTCAGCGGGCAGAAAAAAGAGTTAAAAAGTAGAGACCACCCCCTAAAGGTTCCCATTTAAGCTGCTGCTGACGTCCAGATCTTTAAAAAAATATTTTAAATCAAGCCCAAAGATTGTCCCCCAAATGGTTAGAGGTCGTGCGGGAAAGGTGCCCTGTGCGTGGCCCAATCCAGGGCTTCCCAAAAGGAACCCGTTTATCCTTGGTCACTGCCCCAACGGGGTTGAAATATTTCAAATATTACTATTATTTTAAAAACTCCTCCATCGAGTTCCTATTATTTGGTTATGAAAGGTTCCCCAAACTTTATTGATTCTCGCAGCGGCAGCAATTTGTAAGCATGACAGACCGCATCAATTCAGACAGCGCCTCGCCATCGTGTCGCGGATCCTTGGCTCGGCGGGTAAGCCCAGCGCGGGGCTCCCTGCTCTGCAGCGACTCACACGCTGTTGGCCGTTTGTTTGCCAGGGTACGCGGAGAGTGGCTCCACCGCCAGCAACACGACGTCCGCATCAGGCTCGGGCCTCGGGAGCCTGCATGGAGGCGGCGGCGGGGGCGCGGCGCTGGGTGGCTCCGGCTCCGGTGCGGATCAGGTGCGGCGCTACCGCACGGCGTTCACCCGCGAGCAGATCGCCCGCCTGGAGAAGGAGTTCTACCGGGAGAATTATGTGTCGCGGCCCCGCCGGTGCGAGCTGGCCGCTGCGCTCAACCTGCCAGAAACCACTATCAAGGTATCGATTCCAGCGCGCCCCCGCTTCACCATCCCGAGGGTGTCTGGGTTGGTGGTTGCGTCGATGTCTCCTGTCTGGGAGTCTAGATTTAGCCGAGGGCTAGGAAAACCGCGGTGTGTGGCGGTGGTGGTGGTGGTGATGTGGGGGGTAGTCACCCAAAAAGCCGCTACAGGAGAGGCCTATTTTCATTCGGAGGGTTGAAACGGAGGGTTTTGTCGGGACAGTCTGACCTGGGAAGGCCCTGGAATGGGGAAACCGATGCCTCAAATGCTCGCTTCTAGTGCAGTCTGCTTGGAGTCTCCCCAGGTGCCTCTCCCACAAGCCCACCGCCCTTCTTTCTCCCTGGGCTACATAGTAGGTTCGTCTTTGTTCTCTGGCACAATTCAGGGGTGAAACTTTTCCGTTTGCTTTTGGAGATTTATTTTCTACACAAATCGTTTTAAAACGGAGAAAAGAATACTATATTTTAAAAATAGATTTGATTGAGAACGTGGTTTCCTGAACATTTTTGCCCCTCAGAGATAACGTGGGCAAAATCAACCGTGGGGAGGGGCGAGGGAACGCAACGAAATTGTCCCTATTTATGTATTTTTAGGTGTTTAATTTTATTAGACGTTCGGGAGAGATAGCCCGGAGCTTAGGCGACTGGAAGAAGACTCGGGGTGGATTTGACACTTAAAAAAAAAAAAAAAAGGAAAGTCCACAGTATAAGGGAGGGGTGTGCAACTTTCCCTTCGGTTTGGTCCGGCTTTCTTTAATTTAGAGTTGTGACGGATGATGTCTTCATTAGATACTGTGTGAGGAAGGGTAGGCAAACACCCTTCCCAGTTTCAGGGGAAAATATCTTCGGCACTCATTCGGGGCAGCCGATTCCGACAAAATGAGCTCTTCTGTACCTAAATCGCGCCCAAGCCTCTTGCACATTGGCCTTTGCAGTCGCAAAGACTTAAGAGCGGCGACCTTAGAGAGAGGCTGCCTCGGCGGCCCCTTGTCCTGAACAGCTTGCATCGCCGGGATAAATCCTGGGGTTGAGAAGGAGGAGGAGGGGGGGGGCTTAGGGGGGCCGGGGCCTGGCAGGAAGGAAAAAGGAAAGGTTGCGCTGGGGGGAGAAAAACGCAGCATAAAGTAGGAGAACAGGACCAGGTAGAAGCCAGAGGCACGGGTGAGACTCACTGCAAAGGGTGTGCCCCGGGCAGGCCATGCCGCTTTGCACTAGGTATGCCAACACAAGTGCGCGCGTCAAAACGCAGGGCATGGCCAGGCCTGGCTGGAGGGGAGGAGGCCGGGCTCTCCACAGCTCCCCAAGGGGCTGGGGACCAGGGCGGAGCGGACCTCCCCGCCCCCGGGGTGCTCCCTAACTCGGGCCGCGGGTGCGGCTCTCCCCACAGGTGTGGTTCCAGAACCGGCGCATGAAGGACAAGCGGCAGCGCCTGGCCATGTCGTGGCCGCACCCGGCCGACCCCAGCTTCTACACCTACATGATGACGCACGCGGCCGCCACCGGAAGCCTGCCCTACCCCTTCCACTCGCACGTGCCGCTTCACTACTATCCGCACGTGGGCGTCACGGCCGCGGCAGCAGCGGCCGCGGCTTCCGGCGCCGCCGCCGCGGCCTCCTCGCCCTTCGCCACTTCCATCCGCCCGCTGGACACCTTCCGCGCCCTCTCGCACCCCTACTCGCGGCCCGAGCTGCTCTGCAGCTTCCGCCACCCGGGCCTCTATCAGGGGCCCGCGGCCGCCGCGGGGCTCAACAGCGCGGCCTCCGCCGCGGCGGCGGCGGCGGCGGCGGCCGCGGCAGCCTCGTCCGCCGCGGCAGCCGGGGCGCCCCCCAGCGGCGGCTCCGCGCCCTGCTCGTGCCTCAGTTGCCACAGCAGTCAATCCGCCGCCGCCGCCGCCGCCGCTGCCGCCGCCGCCCTGGGCTCGCGGGGCGGCGGCGGCGGCGGCGCGGGCGGCGGCGGCGGCGGCGCGGGGGCTGCGGCGGGCTCGGACTTCGGCTGCAGCGCCGCGGCTCCGCGCTCCGAGAGCGGCTTCCTGCCCTACTCCGCTGCAGTGCTCAGCAAGACAGCCGTGAGCCCCCCGGACCAGAGGGACGAGGCGCCGCTGACCAGATAACTACATCGCTGCCGCCAGGGGGCCGCGCCCGTCGCGCCGAGTTTGCCCGGGAGTCCCCTGAGCGCCCGTCCCCCAACCTAGGGCCCCCAGCCCCGCGCCCTTCGTGCGCCCAGGTGCCCTCTGAGCTCTGCCCTCCGTTAACGTTGCCGCCAGGGGGCGCCCCGGCGCGGGAGGCTGAAGGAAATCGGCTCTGGATTGGGGGGCAAACCTGGGGCGCGAAAGCCTGGCCGAAGTCTCCCCAAATTATTTATATTTTTGTATTTGCTCCCCAGCAGCCTTTCCCTCCTCTAAGTATGTGTCCCGCCGCTCAGTCCCCTTTTCCCGCCTCCGTCCTGAGCTCTTGGTCTCCCCGAAGACAATTAATTCCCTGGGTCCGAAATCCGTTCTCTGGGGTCCGTGCGTCCTCGGGCCGGGGTTACTCGGCTAAGCACGTGGCCAGCAGCAGCCGGGCGGCGCAGCAAAGAGCGAGGAGGGCACGGTGTGCATTAGCGCTTTGTGTGGGAGGCGGGCACCCCGAGGGTCCGGTTGCTGCGCTTAGCCTTTCGATCCTTTCTTTTCTTTAAAGGACGGGGCGGGGGATGACCACTGTTCTTTCTGTGTAAGCTTGTTGGGGGCCCTAAGCGGAGGAGAGTCGGAGGAGATGACCAGGAGGGTGGATGGAAGGAACAGGGCCGTTGCTGGGGGTATCGGTCAGTACGTGCAGGACGGAGCGAGGCCGGGTGGGCTGTGGCCGCCTAGCCGCGGAAGGACAGCTGAGGTGGGCAAGGCTGGCGGCTTCCCCCTGCGCTCTCCTTTGGTCTTTGGTCTGCAAGGAA